GAGCTAGGAGCTAACGCCTTCAAGGGACAAGAGGAAACCTGGAGGGTCTATCGATGACAAACTGGGGTACTGGATAGTGTGATCTGATGACATGAAATGTAAAGGTGGGATCTTTTAGTGATGCGGAGGAAATCACTGGGAAGCAGTGATGAAGACACTTCTCTTTAGGTCCAGTGATAGCACCACTGTGAGAGAAAAAAAACAGTCAACCATGTGAGAGGACAGCTGGGGAGACTGTCTTCAGGGAGAGCCAGGTTTCAGTTAGAACAAGAGATGAAGAGAACATTTAGAGACAAAGTTGAGAATACAGAGGTTTTTATCAGTTAACCATTTCAGCACCTGTGCTTTTGCATGTTCTGTTTTCTGGCTTATTTTTTTTTAAACAACTTTATTGAGGTGTAATTTACATGGCATAAAAAATCTACCCATTTTAAGTACATCTTTTTTTAGTAAATTTACTTAGTTGGGCCGTTATCCTCCTGAATTATTTTTAACCCTTTCCCAGTGGGTAAACATAGACTCATTCTTCAGAACCCTTATCAGGTATTCTCTTTTCTGAGGAGCCTTTCCTGATCTTCCCACATGGAGATTTATTCTGATTCTCTCTTGTGTGCATTCTCCTATTTGTTTCATACTAACCCAGACTGAAACTGTTCATTTCTCCAGGATGCTGTGAGCCCTTCAAGGGCAGAAATTCTTATTCATACTGCCTAAGCATGTCTTGCACATAGCCCCTCATACTTCCCAAAACCAGTTAAAACAAACAGTATGTAGGTGGAAACCTAAGTTGAACTAAAGAAACTGACTGGTAGCCCTAATATGGGGTATTCATTAAGTTAAAACTTAGTGGCTTAAAACAATAAACATTTATTATTTCACACAACTGTGGGGCAGGAATTTGGGTGCAGCTTAAGTGGGTGGTTCTGGAGGTTGCAGTCAAGATGTCATCTGGGGATGCATCTGCAGACTTGACTCAGACTGGATGATCCGCTTCCAAGATGACTCATTCATATGACTGGCAAACTGATGTCGGCTTTTGGCAGGAGGCCTTAGAACTTTGTCATGTAGACACCTTTATAGGGCCAATCAAGACCCCTTAAGATTTTATAAGGCCACTGGCTTCCTCCAGAGCAAGTGACCCAAGATGGGGCAAGGCAAATGCTTTAGTGCCTTTAATGACCTAGTCTCGGGAGTCTCCATCATTTCTCAGTACTTTGTTGGTTAGCCAGGTCAGCCCTATTGAGTGTGGGCAGGGATGACACATGGGCCTCATTGCCAGGAGGTGAGAGTCATTGGTGTCAGCTTGGAGGTTGGCTCTCATAAAAGCTCATTAATTCAAAAGTGAAGTAATACATGCTTCGTGTGTAGCAAGCAGTTAATAAATATTTGAAAAGACAAAGGCAAAAGAAATACAAATTTTAAAAGAATAGGGGTTGAAATAACTTGTGGTTAGAGTGCTAAGGAATTAACAAAAGTTACTGAAAGAATTTCTCAACAGCAGTTGAAGTTAGAAGTTAAGACATTTGCCTAACTTTTTTTCTGAAATGTATTATATACTGTGGGTTTTTTCTGCCTAGCGTCAACAAAAACTGTTCTAGGTGATCAACGAAAGCAAATGCTCCAAAAATACAAAGAAGAAAAGCAGCTTCAGAAATTGAAAGAGCAGAGAGAGAAAGCTAAACGAGGAGTATTTAAAGTGGGTCTTTATAGACCTGATATGCCTTGTTTTCTGTTATCAAACCAGACTACTATGAAAGCTGAGCCAAAAAAGGTAAATTTACTATCCTAATTTGATATAGAGGAATAGTTCTTTTAACTGAAATTTTCTTTAAGAGATTAAATAACTAGAATAACCACTTCCCCTAACTCTCTTTATTAATTTAACTAGTTGGTAGGTGGGAATGACATAATAGTAACTCAGAAGATGAAAATCAGGTCTCTTGATGTAGTTTATAGGTTCTTGAGATAGGAAAACAGTGGGCAGAAGTCAGGTTCCAGTGACTGACTGAGGAGGACTGGTCTGAGTGGCTGGAGTACTGAAACCCAGCATAGAAGGGTGGGTGACCTAAAGAGAATGGTCAGTGAGTCAAGAAGGATGAAGTTTGAACCGGGGCAGTGGGATCTGTAATTTAGATAGTCGCTGGTGATTTGCTATTTTAAGATGTGTATAAAAGATCTTAGACTGTGTACTCATTCCTGATTTAATACAAATTGAATAATATAAAGGCTTATTGAATACTGCCTATTTTTCTGGGTGTCATGCATCTCATTGATTTACTTAAACACATCTTTGATTATTTGATTATTATCTGCATATGACCTTAGGATAAGGTGGAAGGGACCCAAAATTAATATAATAGTGTTCAGGTAGAACGATATAGATAAATATATTCTATATATTAGAGGAGGGAGAGATTATTTATGTTTGGAGGAACATCAAAGAAGACCTCTTAGAAGGGGTTAGATTTAAGCTGGCTTTTTGAGATAGGATACCAATCATTGGTCTAAACTATAGACTATTTAAAAATACATTAAAAATATATGTAGGGGAAACAAATGGACAAAGGAAAAGAGAGAGAGAGAGTCAAACAAATGAAGAAACAGACTCTTACCTCTAGAGAACAAACTGGTAGTGACCAGAGGAGAGGTGGGTGAAGGAAGGGGGTCAAACAGGTGATGGGGATTAAGGAGCACATTTGTCATGATGAGCAGAGGATATATATGGAATTGTTGAATCACTATATTATATACCTGAAACTAATATAACACAGTATGTTAACTATGCTGGAAATAAAATTAAAAACTTAAAAAAATATTTATATTATAGTGTGTGTAGGGGGAATAAGAGACCCATCAAGGTGTTAAGTAATAAGATTCGCCAATAATTGTTTTTTATTTTATTTAGATGGTCATTGTTGAATTCTGGTGGCCTTGCAATCTAGAGAAAAGCCTAATTTCTTTAGCACTAGATTTTCCCTGAGATTTGGAGAAGAAAATGACTTCTCATCTAGGGGAAAAATCTGATTATGTCTAAGAAATTTTACATAGTTGATAAATATCTTGCCACTTTTTTTAAAGATTTTATTTATTTATTTATTTATTTGAGAGAGAGAGAGAGAGAGAGAGAGAGAAACAGCATGAGAGGGGAGAGGGCAGAGGGAGAAGCAGGCTCCCCACTGAGCCGGGAGCCCGATGCGGGACTCGATCCCAAGACTCCGGGATCATGACCTGAGCCGAAGGCAGTTGCTTGACCAACTGAGCCACCCAGGAGCCCCATCTTGCCACTTTTCAATCAGCCTTTCTCATGCTAGATTTTTTCCACATTTTGTGACCAAGTCTCCATTGTCTTATTCACTGTGGAGAAATGCGTAATCATGAGACTTGAAGGTAAACTGTCAAAGCTGGGAGAGTAAGCTGTACAGTATCTTTTCATTTAAACAGAAAACAAAAGATCCTAAAACTCTAGTCTGTTCATCTACCCCCTTCTAAATATGTCCAGCTAATCATATTAATGAAGATTCAAATAACTGGAAAATATGACTTGAAATTTCTTCTTTCAGCTCACTGAGAAGTAAGTTTTGAAGCTATTAATTTAAATGTAATTTAAGTCAAGCCAGAAGCAGAAAAAATAGGAATTCAAATTGGCAAGTATCTTTTTGCTATAAATGGTCAAGGATAAAATTTAACTTTAAGATGGAAACTTTATTTCATAAAGAGACATGAAATTAAACTTTTGCCATTCATTTTTTTTAACTTTGTTTTCTTTGACTGTTTTAAGGCTGTTCCATCTTCTGTACGGATTACAAGGTCAAAGGCCAAAGACCAAATGGAGCAGACTAAGGTATAGTTGACAGTTAGTAGGTAATTGTTACTAAGATGACAAATTGTACTTTTTTTCTCAGAGTAAATTAATTTTTAATCTAATACCAGTTTTAAGTGTGGTGATTAATTTGCTAGAGTTAATAGTACCAAAATCAATATTATTGGTATGGTGACATAAAACCATCTTGGCTACTAAGGAAATACTTAAAATATCTTTGCCTGACATCCCTTGTGAGATGTATGCTAAACCTTGTGTCACACTCTTTTGTTTACTGGGCTTCTGTTACGCAGTCCATGTCACCATAAAATGTAGATAGGGATATAAAGCACATAGGATGAGTGTTACAAATTTATGGGTCTTCAAAACACCATATGATTAAAATTATTAGGAAGATTACTGAAAGTGATGTGGGCAAGGAAGAAAATGTATGCCTCTTCATCAGGTGAGGAAGCTGAATTTCATGTATTCAATAACGTTTGAGTCACTACCACATTTCTCTCTAAGGTATGGTAGTGAAAAAACAATTCCTTGTTTTCATTGAGCTTACATGTGAGATAGGCAATTAAAAAAATAAGTCTATAGTATGTCAGATGGTTGTAAGTATTATAGAGGTAAAAAAAAAAAAGAGTGAAGGGAGAAGGGGAGTACTAGAGTAGGTGTCGGGTGGAATTTTGATTGGGGCGGCCAAGCAGGGCCTCACTGAGATGGAGGCATCTTAAGTGAAGTCTTTAAGGAGTGGAAGAGTGAACCATGGGAAAGAGCTTTCTCTCCAGGAGAAGTTTCTAGACCCAATTCAAAGGTCTTGAAGTGAAAACAAGCCTGGAATGTTTAAGGATTCTCAGAAGATTATAGTCAGCTATTTTTACTAGCTTAGATTATTAGCATTTTCTAAAGTCTAGGATTCTAAAGAAACTGTGAGGAAGTTTATATAATGGAAAACTTTTTTCTTCATCTCATTTTATTTGGGGAAGTAGATTTTTTTTGCCGGGTCATTTACAATAGTCAGATTTCAAATGAGGGGTCAATTTACAGGAAAAAATGTGGCAGTAAGGATGGCACGTATTGCACGGAGCACTAGGTGTTACATGCAAACGATCTGTCATGAACACTACATCAAAACTAATGATGTAACGTATGGTGATTAACATAACATAATAATAAAAAAGTGGCAATTTGAGTGCTTGCTTTGGCAGCACATATACTAAAATTGGAATGATCCAGAGGTTAGCATGGCCCCTGCACAAGGATGACACACAAATTCATGAAGTGTTCCATATCTGCCCCCCCCACCGCCCTCCCTGCCACTGCCTCAGCTTTATGTTGTGTTTGTAGTTCTGTTGCCCCTCATTTATCCATTGCTGTTTTTGTGATGTGTCCCCCTACCATCTTTGCCTTTTGTAAGTGGCTCCTGGGGGATGGGGTCTGCTCAATCCTCTCTCTCTTATTCCACTCCACTTTGAAAGAAAGTGGGGGTGGCAGAGATAAGGTGGTGGGTGGTCTTTGTATGGTTGAATTAATAAAATGACTTGAAAACTAACCCCCCCAAAAAAGTGGCGATTTGATTCGTTATGCAATTAAATCACATAACACGTAATCTTTTAAATAGATGAATAACAGGAGTGATGTTCAAGCAATCCGACCTGGTCAAAGACAAACTTCTGAAAGAAAAGTGTCGGACAAAGAGAAAAAAGGTAGGAATTTAGCAGTTATTTTATTATATATCTTATTATAAGCTCTGATGTTGCTGCAACAGTAATAATTACAAAAAGCGTTTGATTATTTTTTTTTCCACAGTTGTACAGCCTGTAATGACCACATCAGTGAGAATGACTCGATCAGCCACTCAAACAGCAAAGCAGATTGCCAGAACAGTCTCCTCTACTACAACAGGAAAGCCAGACACAAGAGCTACCAATGGTAAGAACTATTTCTGACCAGTGACCAATCTAGAATGTTTTGGTCTTTGAGGTTTTTGTGTTCAGTTTTAAAAATCATCATGTACAACTCTGAATAAGAGGCGAGGAAATAGGAGATTCCAGTTCCTAAGGTAGGTTCCATGCCTCAGCACCCACACACAGTGGATGCTCAAAGGTGGAAGTACCTGAATTGGTGGTAGCAGCGCTTCAAAGAGAAAAATTAATGGCCCAGATAAATTACAGCCCATCCATTTGGTGACATATAATGTAAACATTGAAGATATATTAAGTGGGCAAAAAATAACAGATGAAATTCTGACCAGTTTGATCACAATCCTAAAATATGTATGTGAATATGTGAACCTAGGATAAAACTGGAAAAACATACCCTAAAGTGACAACCGTGATTTTTACTGAGTAATGTAATCTTGGGTTCTTTTTTAAAATATTGTGGTTTTTGTGCTTTTCTTTATTTTCCTAATTTTCTATAACAAATATGTATTTGTTAGTCAGAGGCAAGGTGTTAACCTTGGTTTTGTTTTGAAAACAGATGGCCTATACTTGGCAGGAAATTGCATCTGTTTTTATCTCGTTTTATAATATGACTCTTAATCAAAAAATCCTTTAAGATATACATTCCTTTTGTTGCCTTTTTTCCTTTTCCAAATTACTTAGTACTTTAAAAACATCATTTTTCCATCTAGTCAAAATGGTTGTCTTTTTTCACTTTTTAGATAATGAAACAGAAAGAAAGGCACCAAATCAAGGAAGACCTGCCAAAAAGATAGAAACAAAACCTGACAAGGTAGAGTATAAACATCTGTTTATTTCCAGATACTTTGAAAATCTCATTGCTACTTTCATAAAGTTGAAATTAAGCATACAGAACTGCTTCAAGAGGGTTAAGCTACATGTGTGTTAAAACGTCTTGAGCCATAAGGAAGCATCAAAAGGATTTATTGTTGTTGTCTTTCAGGTATTACATCCTCAGAACTTTATAGCTAGAGAAAGCATAATTTGGTTAACGGGAGATAGAGAAATACAGTCACACAGCTGACAGAAACCTTCACATGGAAATTCACTAAGATATAAGATGGAGTAGGGTGAAATGTTTTGACTTTGGATTCATTAGGCATGAATTTGAATATTGTCTCTGCTTCCAATTAACTAGATAACCTTGGGCAAGTTATGAGTTTGTTTTCCCATCTCTAACATGCAATACTTACATAAAGTAATTTTTTTTTTTTTTTTTTTGGGTAAAGATTTTTATTTATTTGACAGAGACACAGCGAGAGAGGGAACACAAGCAGGGGGAGTGGGAGAGGGAGAAGCAGGCTTCCTGCTGAGCAGGGAGCCCGATGTGGGGCTCGATCCCAGGACTCTGGGATCATGACCTGAGCCGAAGGCAGACGCTTAACAACTGAGCCACCCAGGCGCCCCTTACATAAAGTAGTTCTAAGAATGAAATAACCTAGAGGCACCTGGGTGGCACAGTTGGTCTTGGTTTCAGCTCAGGTCAGGATCTCAGGGTCCTGGGATTGAGCCCCGCATCAGACTCCACGCTCAACATGGAGTCTGCTTGAGATTCTCTCTCTCCCTCTGCTCCCCCCATGCTGTCTCTCTTTCTCTCAAATAAAATGTTTTAAAAATTTCTTTTTCTTTTTTTAAAGATTTTATTTATTTATTTGTCAGAGAGAGCACAAGCACGTTGAGGGAGAAGCAGGCTCCCTGCTGAGCAAGGAGTCAATGTGGGACTCAATCCCAGGACCCTGGGATCATGACCTGAGCTGAAGGCAGACGCTTAATAGACTGAGCCACCCAGGCATCCCATGAAATAACCTAAGTTTCTTTCATTTATCCATTTATTTATTTATTTATTTATTCATTCATTCATTCATTCATTCATTTGACAGAGAGAGAGAGAGACATCGAGAGAGGGAACATAAGCAGGGGCAGAGAGAGAGGGAGAAGCAGGCTTCCTGCTGAGCAGGGAGCATGATGCGGGGCTTGATCCCAGGACCCTGGGATCATGACCTGAGCTGAAGACAGACGCTTAACAACTGAGCCACCCAGGTGCCCCAAAATAACCTAAATTTCTGATAGCATCTAGCACAGAGCCTAGTAGAGTCTTCAAAAAAGAGCCACCAATTTGAGGGCCCAATTCCTTGGCTTATGATCCACATTACAGTTCCTTAACCTTAAAAATAAAAGTTTTGCCAGAATGTGAGAAACCTGGCTAAATTCTTTTAAGAATCAAACCTAGCTTCTCCAAGGAAGGCAGTAGAGGATGAATCTTCACAAGCAAGCAGCTGGATCTCATAGTTCTTCCCTTAAGATTGATTTCCTCCTTATGGGTTAACCTAAGTTTTTACTTTCACTGCCATGTTGGCCTCAGGGACAATGTCACTCTTAAATTCTTGTCCAGGTTGAAATACTCAGGTTTCTGTTTACAAATTGTTGAAAATCAGAAACGTAGAAACTTCTAAAAATTATGTTTAAATGAATGCATGAAATGGATGAGGGGATTCAAAAGGTACAAACTTCCAGTTACAAAATAAATAAGTCCTGGGGATGTACTATATCCCATAATGACTGTAGTTAATAATTCTGTATTGCATGTTTGAAAGTTGCTAAGAGAGTAAATCTTAAAGGTTCTCATCACAAAAAAAAAATTCTATTGACTATGTATGGTGATGGTTGTTAACTAGACTTATCATGATCATTTCACAATATATACAAATATTGAATCATATACTTTTTTCTTTTTAAATATTTTATTTATTTATTTGACAGAGAGAGCAAGAGAGGGAACACAAGCAGGGGGAGCGGGAGAGGGAGAAGCAGGCTTCCCGCTGAGCAGGGAGCCTGATGCGGGGCTCGATCCCAGGACCCTGGGATCATTGACCTGAGCTGACGGCAGATGCTTAACCGACTGAGCCACCCAGGCGCCCCTGATGTTATATACTTAAAACTAATATAATGTTATATGTTAATTATATCTCAAGTGAAAAAAAAAAAGTAATTAAATTGAAAAAGAAAATATGCTTCACATTTTATATGGTTCATCTAATTGTGTAACATTGAAACATAGTTTTGCTCATATGACAAGGTTATTTATAATCCTAGATTATTTACAAAAAGGATTTGGTTCTTGGCAATAGTAGTCATCTAAGAAACATTGGATTTCTGATTCTGAAACTATTGTAATTATCAGCATAATCTAAGTAAAAAGAGGTCTGTATTTGTTAGGTGAGTAAATTTTTCCACCTTAGTTTTCATATATTTTAATTTGTTGTGACACCTAAAACCTATTATTTATTCCTATAATGAGGATTGGTTCCCTCTCTTTCTGGATCATAGCAATGGTTTAGTGTAACTGGTCTTCTGATTCCTTGTATGCATTTCATTGTATTTGTTTTTGTCTCTTTATGTTTGTGGGACATATATCTCAGCTTTCACATTTTCAGTCCTGTAAAAATTGGTCAAATATATACCCAGAAGAGGAATTCTCACTCTATTCTGTTTACTCACAACTAGGTTGTTTCTTTTAAAGTCGATAGTGAAGAAAATACTTTGGATTCACAAACTAGTGCAACAAATGGAATGGATCCAGATGGAGTCTTACCAAAAACAGAGAACTTACCTAAGACCAGTACTGCAAAAATGAAAGGGAAGAATTCCTTCGCACCTCAGGATTTTATGTTTCAGCCCCTGGATGGTCTGAAGACCTATCAAGTAACACCTATGACTCCCAGAAGTGCCAATGCTTTCTTGACACCCAGTTATACCTGGACCCCTTTAAAAACAGAAGTGTAAGAATGTAATGTTAATAATGAATTTCTTGCAAAGATGGGTAACAAATGCCTTTCTTAGATTTAGCTTGCGCTTTTCAAAAGTTCTTATTTAAATAGTTAATTATAAATCATGAAAATTTGGTTTTTAAAAAAAATTCTTCAGAAGGCTACAATAATCTATTTGACAGTTTTGATATTTCCTATGCATTGTGGTTGCTAATATTATTTTCATAGTACAATTTGTTTTATTGCTTTTAATGAGTGACTTTATTATAACACTTAGAAATAAATTTTTAGAAAGAAGTAATTGCTGTAATACTGTAGCTCAGACATGGGTTTTTGTTTGTTTGTGGTTTTTTGCTTAGAAAAATTACCTCTAAAGGCAAAAATGATTAACTTGCAAAGTGGAGGCTGGGGGCAGGTGGTGGGGATCATTTGGAATCTTTAAAAGGCAAGATTGTTTGCAGACTGGCTGTTGGCAAACTGCTCAGCAGCGGCAAGACTATTAAGTGTTTCATTAAGAGATTTTCAAAATCTTTAGACCTCATTACAATTAGTAAAGATGGAAAAA